TGACCACGGCTTACACCCCACAGTCCAACGGTGTAGCAGAACGGGCGAACCGGACAATTCTGGAGACAGCTAGGGCGCTGCTCATAGAATCTGGGCTGGGCAACTTGATGTGGCCCCATGCTGTTCGGCACGCTACCGTCGCTAGGAACAGGGTACTCACAAAGGTTGGGAGGACTCGTGGGTGCCGTTGAAGAGGTGGCTTGCGAGGAAGGGATGGCTGCTGTGAGAGCCTTCCAAGGGTGTGTTGTTTGACAGCAGGGATGTGAAGTTTGTTAAGGGCATGATGTATGGGAGCTGGGAGAAATAGCCGGAGGCCAGGGTGTCCCAGCAAATGGAGCAGATCACCATGCAGCTGGACCTGACTCCTAGTGTGTGGGAGGAGGGAGAAGAGGCAGCTGCAGAGGGTGGTGATAGGGAGAAGGTGCAGGAGGCACCTGCTGGTGGAGGTGATGGTGAGGAGACTAGCTGTAGCACTAGTGGAGCTACTGGATCTGAGGGAGGAGAGCAACAGCAGGGAAAAACCAAGAAGCCGAAGGGTGTCATTATGAAGGGATGGGAGACACCCGTCTCCAGGCCAGGACGTACCCGCATGGCTACTAAGAAGCTGATTGCAGTAGCTGATGTAGCGGAGCAGCAGCTTGGGACCGAGGAGGCATTACTGATTCTACCGCATGGCTATGACCCGGATGAGCCTGCGTACTGTCTTCTTGCCCTTGCACCAGAGGAACCAGCTAGCATGGAGGAGGCATTAGCTGGACCAGATAGGGACAAATGGCTGGCTTCTAGGGATGCTGACTACCAGAGCCTGCTGGAGAATGGAACTTGGGAACTAGTGGTGCTGCCTGAGGGAAAGAAAGCGGTACAATGCAAGTGGGTGCTAAGGATCAAGACTGACGACAAGGGGCAGGTCACCATCTACAAGAGTAGGTTGGTGGCTAAGGGGTTTATGCAGAAGGAGAAGCGGGACTTCAACGAGATCTTTGCTCCCACTGCCAAAACCCCTACCCTTCGTGTCTTGTTGGCAGATGCAGCCGTTGGTGGGAAGTTCATTATCCAGAGGGACATATCAACGGCATTCCTCAACGGGATTTTAGAGGAGGAGGTGTTCATGACGCAGCCGCCTGAGTATAAGGATGGTACGAACAGGGTGTGCAAGCTGAAAAAGTCCATCTACGGCTTGAAGCAGGCGCCACGCTGCTGGTACCAGAAGCTGGCAGCTGTTTTAGAGGAGATGGGATTCAAGACCAGCAGCTGTGATGAGAGCCTCTTTCTCAAGAGGAAGGGGGAGAAGCTGGTGTTGTTTCTGGTCTACGTGGACGACATTCTTCTCTTCAGCAGCAGCATGAAGGAGATCCAGAAAGTGCAGAAGCAGCTGATGGAGAACTTCAAGTGCAAGAACCTTGGGGAGGTAAAATACTACCTCGGGATGCATGTGGAGAGGGATCCAGATCACAGGTAGTTGAAAGTGCACCAGGAGAAGTTCATCAAGGAGCTGGGGGAGAAGTATGGGATTAAGAATGAGCGCAAGGTTGCAACTTGTTGGGTGCAAATTCACATTGCACGACATCCTCCCGTCTGATTGTACAAGTATGCGTATGCGAATGCATTTGCGTGTGAATGGTATGTTCGTGTGTTTGTTTGCTTTCGCAATTTTCGCTTGAAGCATTTGCAGGTACTCGCACAATGTGCGCTTCGGCATAACATTGTACGCGCTATGAACAGTACAAGCAGAAAGGACGAGCTCGCAAAGGAACCCAAGATGGAAGCTTTGCCGTTCAACTTACTTGATTGCGCAGATTCAGTTCTATCCAACTCGAAATTGTACTGTTTTGTTTGGTTGACTATAGTGTAGCAGGGCAGGCACTATAGGGGTACAATTTAGGTGAAGGTTGGATGTTGTTTGTCTGTATCTGCATGCTACAGGGCCAGGGGAAACCAGCGGAACCAGCATTTGGCTGGTTGGGCAAAGACAAAACAGGTTCTGTTTTTAGGACCTGAACCTGGTTGTTGTTTTCCCAGGTTGGAAAAACAGAACCAGAGGTTGTTCAACAACCTACCACCTGCTATTTTGTCCAGCCAGGTTGGTTCTGTTGCTTGGAATTATTTGGGATGATCCCTGGTTGTTCTCAGGTTCATTCCCAAGGTCCTTGCTACCTAGAACTATTTATTCCTTCTCTGTTTGTACCTGGATATAGTGAAATTGATTCAAGCGAATTCCTTCCTTGCTGGAATTTCGTTTCTACGCGATGCGACGGCGGAATGCTACCCGAGTCAACGCTAGTATGCTAGCACTCCAACGCTAGGCTAACGCTGTCCGAGCCATAACTTCGTAATGGCAGAACTTTTCGCGAGGCAACTTGGCTCATTTTAAAGCTCTTAGAGTGAGCTTCGATATAGCAAATTCTCAGCTTAATCCAGTCGACGGTCTGCACGATACGCTGCGCGACGTTCAAGGTACTCTTGCTGTTTTGACTAAGTCCCTCTTGATCCCTCTCCCTACAAACTCGGACCCGAGGATAGGGGCTGGTCTTGTACCAGGCACCCAAGGACCCTTGGAGGTGACCCCGAGGAGAGGTTTTAAGTTTGATAAAGTCTAAATAGCTTGAGTTTATTAGGCCCTTACACCAACACAACTCCCCTGCCAGCAGAATTCAAGCTTGTGAAAGCTGCAGAGGATGAAGGGGTTGAAGCCGAGGAGCAGCAGCAATTTCAGTCCTTGGTAGGCAGTCTCTTGTATGCAGCAGTTCACATGAGGCCCGATATCTCTTTCTCGGTTGGGCAGCTGGCCAGGGTGGTGCAGAATCCATCAGAGGAGCAGGTGGATGCAGCTGAGCGTATGGTGAAGTATCTGAACTCTCACCCAAGCATTAGAGTTCAATACTCGGCATCTGCACAGGTGAAACAGAAAGGGGTTGAGGTGCTGAAAGAGAAGGGGGAGAGGCTTGGAGAAGGCAAGCTCTTTCTCACTTGCTTTACCGATGCTACGTGGGCCTCTGAGAATGAGTATTCCTCATCTGTGGGAGGATACATCTGCGTAGTTGGGGGAGGACCTGTTAGTTGGAGGTCAAAGAAGCAGACGGAGACAGCACTCTCTTCCTGTTTTTAGGACCTGAACCTGGTTGTTGTTTTCCCAGGTTGGAAAAACAGAACCAGAGGTTGTTTACCAACCTACCACCTGCTATTTTGTCCAGCCAGGTTGGTTCTGTTACTTGGAATTATTTGGGATCATCCATGGTTGTTCCCAGGTTGATTCCCAAGGTCCTTGCTAGCTAGAGCTATTTATTTCTTCTCTGTTTGTACCTGAATATAGTGAATTTGATTCAAGCGAATACCTCCCTTCCTCGAATTTTGTTTCTACGTGGTGCGACGGCGGAATGCTACCCGAGTCAACGCTAGTACGCTAGCAATCCAACGCTAGGCAAACTCTGTCCGAGCCATAACTTCGTAATGGCAGAACTTTTCGCGAGGCAACTTGGTTCATTTTAAAGCTCTTGGAGCGAGCTTCGATATAGTAAATTCTCAGCTTAATCCAGTCAACGTTCTGCACGATACGCTGCGCGACGTTCAAGGTACTCTTGATCCCTCTCTCTACAAACTCGGACCCGAGGATAGGGGCTGGTCTTGTACCAGGCACCCAAGGACCCTTGGAGGTGACCCCGAGGAGAGGTTTTAAGTTTGATAAAGTCTTAATAGCTTGAGTTTATTAGGCCCTTACACCAACAGCGCTAGCATAATTTGCATTAGCGTATGTCATTATGCATGGATGTTGGATATTTTCATCTCTGTGTTTTTCTCGAAGTCTAAATGTTTGATCATGCAGGAGAAATCCAGAGCTTTCCATCGATACCAAGATCGCCTTATTCCGACCAAGATCGCCTAAGTTACATGATTTCCAAGACTTGGATTTCATATTTACCTTTGGGGTTATATCCAATTTGGGTGATTACTTGGGACATTACTATAAAGGGATCTTTGGTTGGGTGGTTAGGGAAGGCACCTTTGACTTTTGGATTGGGGTGGCTAGAAGTTTCTAGCATGGGTTGCAAATGTTCCAATACCTAGGCAAAATCCAATAAGATTGGATTTCGCATGTGACACCTCAATGACCTCATGATGAGGGTTGCATCCTTGCTGCTAGGAAGGTTCCTATCATCCTTCCCTAGCTCTTGGAGAACCCCTTCCCTCTCATGGTTCTCTTGGAGTCCCCAACTCCAACTTTCTATGCTCTAATGCTTGTACTTCCTCCCTCATTCTAGTCATGCGACTGCTGGACTTTTTTACATGGTTCTCACTCTGTAGACCATCTTTATGGCTGATTCAACTTGAATATGGTAGCTAAGCCTAAGGCGCACAATCATACGGAGCGTATTTGCGTTTAGTTGAGAAATGAGTTTGTCGTAAGCTCTCAAAGTGACGGATCTTGAACAACAAGTGATATCAGAGTGGATAGTCGACTTTGAGACGATGAATCGTCGTGAATTTTCAACCAATGTTGTCGAGTGAGACCTGTTTCAAGTAGCTCTGCTTGCGAAACTTTGATTGGTAGTCAAACCGTGTTCAGATTCGAAGTACTCAGTCCGCGACGATGATTTTTGTAGAATAAAAAATTTCTGGTAGAATTCTCTCCAAACAATTTCTCAAGTTTCCACCATTCAGAAGGCCTCAATATGGTTGGTACGGACTCCGGAGGTGCTAGTGGCGAGATGGATAGAAGTAGAGAGGCTGGAGAGCAAGGGGGAGTTGCTGGTAGAGAAGTGGGGACTCACCAACCAGCCAACCCTATGCTACCCTCAACTTCTACACCATCTCCAACAACCGTGGATCATGTGAAGGCGTTCTCTATTGAGAAGTTCGTGGGGGAGGACTACGAGCACTGGAGCTTCCGCATGATGCTGATGTACACCCAATACAAGCTAGTGGATTTGGTGGAGGGGAAGGAGAAGATGCCGGAGGCCGCGGAGCTGAAAGGAGCATGGATAAAACGATCGTTCGACGCGCACATGCTCATGGTGCAAGCGGTTGGCGGGCGACAACTTGACCACATCAAGGATCTCCTGGGTGACCCAGAGTGTGGCCCCAAGGCTTGGAGGAAGCTTCTCGATGTGCACTCACCGACACATGCTACCGGCATCGTGCTTCTCACACAGCGGCTGCGCGACATCAAGTTTGTTGATGGAGAGCCGATGCAACCGGTATTGGATGAGATGCGGGACATCTTCACAAAGCTCCAAGGCGGTGGTGTGGTGTACCCGGAGCTCGTGCAATGCGTGGAGATCGTGATACGGCTGCCGGAGTCATGGTCTGCCCTAGCAATCAACCTCAACTCCCAACAACCCCAATGGAGCGTGGATTACATTCGCCCGCGCATCCTAGAGGAGGACTTGCGGCGGCGGAGTGTGGAGCGCTCGGAGGAGGGGGCTAGCTATGTAGTTGGAGGTGGAAAGAGTGGTTTCAAGAAGAAGTGGAAGGGTAAGAACAAGGACAACCCTAAGGAGGATGGCGGCGGGGGTCAAGGGGAGGTGTGCTTCTACTGCAAGAAGCGCGGACATCGTTGGCGGAAGTGCAACCAACGACCCAAGGATTGGACCCCGCCTTCATCGAGCAACCAGCGTGATGGCACGAGGAGTGGGGGAGTCATGGGAGCTAGCGGAGAGGAGAAGGATGAGGAGAAAGGCGGCAAATCTGAGGAGCGGAAGGCTGGGTTCTTCTTCTTCATGAACGAAGGCGCAACCGACCTCGCTATGGCTGCCAAGGTTCTCCTACACCCCCTCACCCATTGGGTGATTGACTCGGGAAGCTTCTGGCACATGACTCCTCGTGCGGACCTACTCGATGAGATTCAGCCCGCACCCATCTCTACAGTCACATCCGCGACGGGCGCCAAGGCCAAGGTCATGGGCATGGGGTGCGCCAAGTTCATGGGAGCGGATGGAGAGCTCGTGGGGCTGAAGAACATGCTGTGGGTCCCGGACTTGTTCGCGAACCTGATTTATACCGGTCGGTTTGGAGATGCGGGTGTGAACACCGAGACGATTGGCTCGGAGTGCTATCGTGCCTACAACGATGAGCGCCTCATTTGGGACCTGCAGTGGAAGGGAGATGTCCACAAGCGCATGTGGCAGATCCCGGTCCTCCCTTGGCGGAAATCGGGCAAGGCGGCAGCGGCGGCATCTATGGAGGAGAGCGTCACCGAGGAGGAGCAGCAAGGTGTGCAAGAAGAGGAGCTGATTGGAGGAAGCGCGGCAGTGAAGGCATCGGCTACCTCGGGCCAAGCGGATTGGGAGACTTGGCATCGGCGGCTCTCACACGTGGCTGTTTCAACACTGGAGGTGATACACAAGGAGAAGTTCGTTCTGTTGGTGTAAGGGCCTAATAAACTCAAGCTATTAAGACTTTATCACACTTAAAACCTCTCCTCGGGGTCACCTCCAAGGGTCCTTGGGTGCCTGGTACAAGACCAGCCCCTATCCTCGGGTCCGAGTTTGTAGAGAGAGGGATCAAGAGGGACTTAGTCAAAACAGCAAGAGTACCTTGAACGTCGCGCAGCGTATCGTGCAGACCGTCGATCGGATTAAGCTGAGAATTTCCTATATCGAAGCTCACTCTAAGAGCTTTAAAATAAGCCAAGTTGCCTCGCGAAAAGTTCTGCCATTACGAAGTTATGGCTCGGACAGCGTTAGCCTAGCGTTTGAGTGCTAGCGTACTAGCGTTGACTCGGGTAGCATTCCGCCGTCGCACCGCGTAGACAAGAAATTCCAGCAAGGAAGGAATTCGCTTGAATCAATTTCACTATATTCAGGTACAAACAGAGAAGGAATAAATAGCTCTAGCTAGCAAGGACCTTGGGAATCAACCTGGGAACAACCAGGGATGATCCCAAATAATTCCAAGCAACAGAACCAACCTGGCTGGACAAAATAGCAGGTGATAGGTTGGTGAACAACCTCTGGTTCTGTTTTTCCAACCTGGGAAAACAACAACCAGGTTCAGGTCCTAAAAACAGAACCTGTTTTGTCTTTGCCCAACCAGCCAAATGCTGGTTCCGCTGGTTTCCCCTGGCCCTGTAGCATGCAGATACAGACAAACAACATCCAACCTTCACCTAAATTGTACCCCTATAGTGCCTGCCCTGCTACACTATAGTCAACCAAACAAAACAGTACAATTTCGAGTTGGATAGAACTGAATCTGCGCAATCAAGTAAGTTGAACCGCAAAGCTTCCATCTTGGGTTCCTTTGCGAGCTCGTCCTTTCTGCTTGTACTGTTCATAGCGCGTACAATGTTATGCCGAAGCGCACATTGTGCGAGTACCTGCAAATGCTTCAAGCGAAAATTGCGAAAGCAAACAAACACACAAACATACCATTCACACGCAAATGCATTCGCACACGCATACTCGTACAAACAGACGGCAGGATGTCGTGCAATGTGAATTTGCACCCAACACACTCCCCCTCAGCCTGCCGGCTGCATCCCCATCATTCCATACTAGTTCATGCTCATTCCACTCATGCGCACACAACGCCAATGAGACTCATCCGCAAGCCTCTTGGTGAGGAAGTCTGCTGGCTGCTGGTGAGTCTTGATGTAGATCGGATTCACCGTCCCCCTCTTCACCTCCTTACGCAGCCAGTGCCACTTGATACGCATGTGCTTATTCAGCCCATGAAGCACAGCGTTCCTGGCCATCCCAAGAGCTCCCTTGCTATCACAAAACAGCGGCGTAGCAACCTTTTGCTCCTGGCCAATCTCCTCCAACAGCCTCCTCAGCCAAATCACCTCCTTCACCCCATGGAACATCGCCATGTACTCTGATTCCACGGAAGAGAGTGCTGTCTCCGTCTGCTTCTTTGACCTCCAACTAACCGGTCCTCCCCCAACTACGCAGATGTATCCTCCCACAGATGAGGAATCCTCCTTCTCAGAGGCCCACGTAGCATCAGTAAAGCAAGTGAGAAAAAGCTTGCCTTCTCCAAGCCTCTCCCCCTTCTCTTTCAGCACCTCAACCCCTTTCTGCTTCACCTGTGCAGATGCGGAGTATTGAACTCCAATGCTTGGGTGAGAGTTCAGATACTTCACCACACGCTCAGCTGCATCCACCTGCTCCTCTGATGGATTCTGCACTACCCTAGCCAGCTGCCCAACCGAGAAAGAGATGTCGGGTCTCGTGTGAACTGCTGCATACAAGAGGCTGCCCACCAAGGACTGAAATTGCTGCTGCTCCTCGGCTTCAACCCCTTCATCCTCTGCAGCTTTCACAAGCTTGAATTCTGCTGGCAGGGGAGTTGCAACCTTGCGCTCATTCTTAATTCCGTACTTCTCCCCCAGCTCCTTGATGAACTTCTCCTGGTGCAGCTTCAACCACCTGTGATCCAGATCCCTCTCCACGTGCATCCCGAGGTAGTACTTTACCTCCCCAAGGTTCTTGCACTTGAAGTTCTCCATCAGCTGCTGCTGCACCTTCTGGACCTCCTTCATGCTGCTGCTAAAGAGAAGAATGTCGTCCACATAGACCAGAAACAGCACCAGCTTCTCCCCCTCCCCCTTGAGAAGGAGGCTCTCATCACAGCTGCTGGTTTTGAATCCCATCTCCTCTAAAACAGCTGCCAACTTCTGGTACCAGCAGCGTGGCGCCTGCTTCAAGCCGTAGATGGACTTTTTCAGCTTGCACACCCTGCCCGTACCATCCTCATACCCAGGTGGCTGCGTCATGAACACCTCCTCCTCTAAAATTCCGTTGAGAAATGCCGTTGATATGTCCATCTGGATAATGAACTTCCCACTAACGGCTGCATCTGCCAACAAGACACGAAGGGTAGGGGGTTTGGCAGTGGGAGCAAAGATCTCATTGAAGTCCCGCTTCTCCTTCTGCATAAACCCCTTAGCCACCAACCTACTCTTGTAGATGGTGACCTGCCCCTTGTCGTCAGTCTTGATCCTTAGCACCCACTTGCATTGTACCGCTTTCTTTCCCTCAGGCAGCACCACTAGTTCCCAAGTCCCATTCTCCAGCAGGCTCTGGTATTCAGCATCCCTGGAAGCTAGCCATTTGTCCCTATCTGGTCCAGCTAATGCCTCCTCCATGCTAGCTGGTTCCTCTGGTGCAGGGGCAAGAAAACAGTACGCAGGTTGATCCTCCTCATCCGGGTCATAGCCATGCGGTAGAATCAGCAATGCCTCCTCGGTCCCAAGCTGCTGCTCCGCTACATCAGCTCCTGCAGTCAGCTTTTTAGTAGCCATACGGGTACGTCATGGCCTGGAGACGGGTGTCTCCCATCCCTTCATAATAACACCCTTCGGCTTCTTAGTTTTCCCCTGCTGCTGCTCTCCTCCCTCGGATCCAGCAGCTCCACTAGTGCTACCGCTAATCTCCACACCATCACCTCCACCAGCAGGTGCCTCCTGCACCTTCTCTTTATCACCACCCTCTGCAGCTGCCTCCTCTCCCTCCTCCCACACACTAGGAGTCAGGTCCAGCTGCATGGTGATCTGCTCCATCTGCTGGGACACCCTGGCCTCCGGCTGTTTCTCCCAGCTCCCATACATCATGCCCTCAACAAACTTCACATCCCTGTTGTCAAATAACACACCCTTGGAGGGTTCCCACAGCAGCCATCCCTTGCTCTCAGCAGCCAGCCCCAAATGCACACACCAGATTGCACTCGCCCCCAACTTACTGCGGTAGGTCTTGGGGACGTGGGCGACTGCCATGCAACCGAACACCCTCAGCATGTCCACCGGCGGCTTCCTCCCAAGCCACCTCTCCAACGGCACCCACGAGTCATCCCCAACCTTTGTGAGTACCCTGTTCCTAGCGACGGTAGCGTGCCGAACAGCATGGGGCCACATGGAGTTGCCCAGCCCAGATTCTATGAGCAGCGCCCTAGCTGTCTCCAGAATTGTCCGGTTCGCCCGTTCTGCTACACCGTTAGACTGTGGGGTGTAAGCCGTGGTCAGCTCCCTCTGGATGCCCTGCTTCTTGAGCCAGGCCGTCATCTCAGCTCCAAGGAACTCACCACCCCGATCTGTCCTAATCCGCTTCACCACACACTCCGCTTGCTTCTCCACGAATGGCAGCCAATCTTCCCGTATCGTAGAGGCGGCATGGTCCTTCTGCTTCAGCGGATATGCCCACATAAGCCTGCTCCAATCATCCACAATGGTCAGGAAGTACCGCTCCCCCTTGTGTCCCTGAACCGGCAGCGGCCCCACCAAGTCCATGTGGACCAGCTCCAACGGCTTCTTGCTCCTGCCAGCCACACTATGGAAGGGGAAACGGGTAAACTTTGAGAGCAAACAGATTTCACAGTTATCATCGGGTGGTTGTCCGTTCAGCTTCAAGCCCTTAACGGCTCCATCCTTCTCCAGCTGCTTCAGCAAAGGCATTGCCACATGCCCCAAGCGTCGGTGTGCCGTTGCCCAATCCGTCTCCCCAGATCTGGCCGACACTTTCACACCAACCCCTCCAACGGCGTTGCACTCCCCCTGGGATGCAGACCCCTCTCTAGCCTGCCCCTCACCATGCCACGCCAGCGCCGGCAGCTGCCACATGGATCTGTACACGTCCTTGCTCTCGTGCAGATCCCAAAGCACCCGATTGCCCAGCTTCCCCTTATAAGTGCGAGCCCCATCCGTGTTGGTGTTCACCCCAGCCTTGCCAAGCTTACGGAGGGAGATGAGGTTGGCCTTCAGGTCGGGGACGAGGAGAACGTCGTGCAGCACCACCGGCTTGCCATCCGCTCCCTTAAATGCAGCTCGTCCCGCACCAGCCACCTTCAACATGTGTCCTGAGGCAGAGCACACCTCATTAATCGGTGCAGCGCGTACGTCGTCCAGCAGGTCCTTGCGCGGCGTCATTGTCCAAGCAGCGCCTGTGTCCAACACCCAATAGTCCAGGGGGTGCAGCTCTGCTCCAGCCTTAGCAGAGGCGTCTCCTTGCTCCCCCTTGTCTCCCATATGGAAGAATTGGCCCGCGGTGCGCTCCTTCTTCTTCTCCGCACCGCCGTTGCCCTTTGGGTTGTTGTCGGACGAATCAGCGATCATGTTGGCACCGTTTTTCTGGTTCCTCCGCGCGCCGCCATCCTGGTGACGATTCTGGGGGGTCCATCCATCGGGTTTCTTATAGCACAAAAACCAGGGGTGCCCTTCCTTCTCACAATACCAGCAACTCCCTTTCATTTTGCCACCAGCACCCGACTTGCCCCCACGTCCAGATTTTGCACCGCGACCCCAACCGGTACCTCCTTGTTGGTCGTTGGAGTCGTCGTCTTTCTTTGCACCGCGTCCAGCACCACCGAAGCCACGTCCTTTGCCACGTCGGCTCCCTTGCATCCCGTAGCCGCTGCTGCCGTCGTCTCCACCCCT